GGAGTAGAGGTCGAAAGAGGCGCAAGAGGAAGGGACTCCTAGAACTGCTGCTCTTCTGCTGCACAACTGTTGCCGCAGGGTTTAGGGTTTAGGGGTTTATAGGGTTTAGGGTTTAGGGGTTTAGGGGTTTCTAGGGTTTAGGGGTTTAGGCCCTAAGCCCGAAACTCGACACAGGTGGCACATCGAAAGCGGCTCGGATTGCAGAGCGTATCTCTGCCAAGCGGATCCTTGCAGCGGTACCTGGCGAGAGCTCCACTCTTCTCCCACTGACGAGGCTCTCTGTAGGCGAGGGTTTAGGCGTTTAGGGTTTATAGGGTTTGGGGGTCTAGGGTTTGCTGTTTAGGGGCTTAGGGTTTGTAGGGTTTTTCGATTTGGGGGTTTAGGGGTTTGCTGTTTGGGGTTTTAGTGTTTAGGTTGTACCTGGACCCCTCAGGTAGATAATGGGTTTCTGAAAGGGTGCTTGTGGGGTCCTGGTGGCAGGTTTTTCGGGTCTAGGGTATGAGATTCAGGCACTCCAAAACCTGTTTCCAGACCTACTGTTGATGATATAAATATCCTGCATTACCTTAAGGACCCTAAACTATGGGAATTATGGTATACTATTCCTTATTATGGGTAATGCGGGGTTTGTACCATCAACCGTATGCCCGACTTGCAGTGCTCTCTGCTACAGAGGATGCTCGCTTCTCACATTAACCTCGCCGGTTCCTGCAAGTACACCCTATATAGACCTCTCTCAAGCCCCTCACCACAAAGCACCACTCTGCAACAAAACCTCAAAAGACTGTCGACAATGATCTTCCTAATTTCGGTTCCTTTTCCCCTTATAAGTCTATAAGAAGATGAAACCCTAAACCCTAAACCCTGTGTGTTAATTTAGTTAACTTTGGTAAGAAGATGCTCCTCTTGCAGCTGCGGATGGCTACGTGCCCTGAACTCCGACTGACTAGTCTCCCCCCTCGCCAACACTTGCCTGGGCTCTTGTTAAGATTTTTGTTTGATTAAGTTACCAGAATAGGGATCTATAGTAAATCATACGGTTTCTTTACCATGGTAACTGAATTTAAATCCCTTAGCAAGAACCCAGTTGCCGAGGTGATCATGAACGCATACACCTCGAGTCTGCCCCTCTACAGTGGCAGCTGCGAGCGCGTCGGTGTCAGAGTCGGGGAGCCGCACTATGCCGCCACGAACCACAAGGAGTATTTTGCTGAGTGCTCCGAGGCCTGCAAACCCGCAAAATCCTTAAATCCCCCAATCCCCAAACCAAGACCCAAAGAACTCGTTTTTTTGCTGAGTGTTACAGAGGCCTACTTCAGCACGGGGAGATTTCGGAATGACTACTTCCCATACATTCACAGCGAGTTGAAGGGCTACGACGCCGCTGCATATGCCATGTGCTTGCACATTTGGGGACCCAGGAGTTCGGAAGAGGAGCTGGAGGCTCGATATGGGAGTTTCCGAAAATAAGGGCTACCTGATTTTGGGGTCCTGATAATAAGGATCCTACGATTCAGGGTACTATATGGCTCGACCTGGGGATCCAAAAACCTACTGTTTAATGGGTCCTACCCTCTAATTAAGGAGTCATAACCTACTATTTTGTAGGGTTTGGGGTCACAGGGATATCTGCCTAAAGGCTAAATAAGCCCTTAACCCCAAATCCGAAGCCCTAAAACCTAAATCTGAGCTGCAGGCTCGATATCTGAGGGAGTTCTGCCACACTGAAGTCCCGGCGTCAACTTTCGTCTCTTCCCCGGCAGCCAAGCAGCTCTTCTTACAAAGGATCTTCGAAGCGGCACAAGAGAGAGCTCGACTGAAGCTGCTTCGTGGCCCAGCTGGCAGCTGAAAAGCCATCCCATGATCTCTCAGTCGGTTCCTTAGGGGCTGAGTAGGTAACCTTTAACCTTTTTTGGGGGCTTATGTAATCCTTCCCATAATTCAAAAGGCTAAGCTTTTTGGGGCTTATATAATCCTACCATAACTCAGAAGGCTAACCTTTTTGGGGCTTATATTATAATCCTACCATAATTCAAAAAGGTTAACCTTTTGGGGGCTTATATAATCCTACCACAATTCAAAAAGCTAACCTTTTTGGGGCTTATATAATCCTACCACAATTCAAAAAGCGAACCTTTTTGGGGCTTATATAATCCTACCACAATTCGGAAGGCTAACCTTTTTTGGGGCTTATATCCCTAAACCCTCAAGCCTAACCTTTTTTGGGGCTCGGGTACTCGGCTCCCTAAGGTTTAGGGCGCCGGGGGCTTGGAGTCCTCGCTGTTCCGGGGCTGTCGCCTGCTTCATGCTTAGCTTAGTACTTAGTACTTAGGGTTTACGTAGGGTTTAGGACTAAGGGGGCTTTGGGGTTTGGGGTTTATTGGTTTGGGGTTTACTTGGGTATCCAAAAACCTATCGTTTTATGGGTTCCACCCTCAAATTAGGGGGTCATAACCTACTATTTTGTAGGGTTTGGAGTCCTTAGTACTTAGGGTTTAGGGTTTAGGACTAAGGGTTTAAGTCGGTTTAGGGTTTAAGGGTTTAGGATTTGCAAATTTAGGGTTTAGGGTTTACCCATAGGCCCCAAAGTAGTTCCGTTTTGGGATTATGTTCAGAATCCTGTAAGGTAATCCCCAAAAGGAACTACTTAGCGGCCTATGGGTAGTATGTAGCATCTCCCGACAGGCCAGATACCAAGATCCCGAACTCGACCATGAAGGCTATGATTTCAGGTACATTGCTTAATGAAGGGATTCCTGAAGGTGTGGGTGAAGATATAAGCACCTTGAGCTACCAACACCTCCGTTCTGCGCGATGAAAGGTTAAAACCTCCAAAACAGGATTCTGGTAGTTTAAAGTGCCTTTTTGGGGGGCAACAAGGTTGGGAGTTTAGGGTGTAAGTATAGTTGCGGTGTGCATGACCCCTATACCCTAAACCTTAGACCCTAAACCCTAAGATCCCTTGGCGAGTTTCGGGCTTTCGGGGTTTGGGGAGTCGGGGTGTCGGGGTTTAGGCATTTAGGGTTTTTAGGGTTAGGGTTTAGGATATTGATATGGTTTCAGGCTTCAGGGTCTAAAGGCCTGGGCTGCAGAGCGCTAAGCTGTGTCTGCGCTTCAGGGTGCAGCGTTCCGAGTTGCGCTTGAAGCAGAGTCGCCTCAGTTAGGGTTTAGGGTTTAGGGTTTAGGGTGCCCTACGTCGCATGTGACCCAGCTGGCAGGTCTGTCTACTAAGCCGCCGAAGAAGCAACCAGGATCTGCCAAGGTACCTTTAATAGAGCCCTTGTGGCCTTTAATGCGGACATGATAACCCTAAACCCTAAACCCTAATTAAACCCTAAACCCTAAACCATAAATAAACCCTAAACCCTAAACCCCAATTAAAGCCTAAACCCTAAACCCTGAGCATGATAGAGGGTAGCTGAGGCGGGTCTTCGAAGTCCAAGATCTGAACCTCAAGTTCGCACGCAGTCCCTCATGCCGAGGCGTTGCTGCAGGGGGGCTTCCGACTGCAAGGCAGGGGACCTAAACCCTAAAACCCTAAAGCCTATACTTAAACCCTAAAACCCTAAAGTCTACTTAAACCCTGAAACCCTAAAGCCTACTTAAACCCTAAAACCTTATAACACCTACTTAAACCCTAAAAACCCTAAAGCCAACTTAAACTTTAAACATGCTCCCAATCCTCTTGCCGGAACCGAAGCTCTAACTCTGTGGCTTGATCCGCAAAGCTAGACACTGAACCCTCAAACCAGACCAAAACTTGGCTTCTGGGTCCTTGTTGGATGCAATGTTAAATTTTTTGTTATAATACTAATAAAACCCCAGGTACGGATTAAACATGAGCATTTTTCATATAGCACCAACAGGGAACCAGGTTCAGAGTTTAGTGTTCCCTCGCCTTAGACCGAAACCCGAATGCCACAACCTTAAACCGACCCCCCCCCCCCCTAATTCCATAACCTCAGCACCGAAACCCTTCATTCCTCAACCCCAAACCCTAAACCCTGAACCCCAAACCTCAACCTTAACACCGAAACCACCATAAGCTTTAGGGTTTGGGGTTTCGGGTTTAGGTTTTAGGGTTTGGGGTTTAGGGTTTAGGTTTTAGGGTTTGGGGTTTAGGGTTTAGGGGTCTAGGTCCTCAACCTAAACCTTAAATCTTGCAGACATTGAGAGCCAGGGTCGAGGGCGTTGGGGTTATATGGTAAAAGGGTTTAGGGTTGTAGGGTTACAGACTTATAGGGTTATAGGGTTTAAGGTTTAGGGTTATATGGTTTTATAGGGGTTTAGGTTTAGGTTATAGGGATATAGGGCTTCAGGATTTAAGGGTTTGAGGATTCAGCCTAGAGAGGTTGGCCCCAAACCCGAAAACCCCTCGCCCCCAGCGCAAAAGCCCAACTCTAAACTACGGTTGATGATATACATCCTGCATTACCCATAATAAGGAATACACCATCATTCCCATAGTTTAGGGTCCTTAACGTAATGCAGCATTTATATCATCAACAGTAGGGTAATGCAGGGGTTCGGAATGCTTGATCCTGACTAGTTGTCTTGTGTATAGTGGCGTTCACCCTACCCAGAGGCTCCATAGCAGTTCCTTTTTGGGATTACCTTATGGAATCCTAAAAATATGCCGCCAAAAAGGAACTACTGTGGAGCCTATGGGTAAACTTCCTAGACCCTAAACTGCTTCAGACCTGAACAGTGGCGGGTTCAGGGTTCCTAGAACAGAAAGCAAGACATCAATTCATTCCCTAAACCCTAAACCCTAAAGCCTAAACATGCTCGAACCCAGGTACCACGGCCACCAGTGCCGTGGAAATTGTCAGCTCCGCCAAGGACCCGGAAGCATACAGCCGAAACTCTAAACCCTAATTAGGGTTTAGGGTTTAGGCTTTAGGGTTTAGGCTTTAGGGTTTAGGGTTTAGGCTTTAGGGTTTAGGGTTTAGGGTTCTAAACCCGCAACCCCAAACCCTAAACTTTAAGCCCTCAACCCTAAACCTGTGAGAGTGTACACGTCTGGGCATGTTTTGGACCACTGCTTCGGCCTCATAGTTTGTACGTTGGACCTGTCTAACCAGTTTTCAACTTGTGCTTTCAAGTCGAGTTCTTCAATTAGTTTGGCTGTCGATGGGGTTCCCCGTAGCTGAAGAGGCAACCTTGGGCGTAAACAATCTTACTGCAGGTGGTAACCCTCTCCGGGCACAGTGAATCCAGCAGTGAGAGGCTACTGTTCAGGCTAGAAGTTTTCAGAGTTATTGCTGTTTGGGTTTAGGGTTTAGGGATCTACTAACTATATTGGCCTGCTAAGCCCCAAACCCCAAGCCCTAAACCCTACACCCTAAACCCTAAACCATCAGTAAACTCCCGGGAGCTCCACCACGCGCTAGCCCCGTAACCTAAACACCCTCAGAAATAGACCCTATCCGGGTTTAGGGTTTAGAGTGCCCTATCCTAAACCCGAAACCCGGATTAGGTTTTAGGGTTTAGGGTTCCGGGTTTAGGGTTTAGGGTGCCCTATCCTAAACCCGAAACCCGGAACCCTATGAACCCAACACCCTCTAAACCCACCCTATGTCCAAATTTGGTCGGGTTTAGGGTTGAAGCCCTAAACCCCTAAACCCTAAGCCCTAAAACCCTAAAACCCTGAACCCTCAACTCTAAACCCCTAAACCCCTAAACCCCTAAACCCTAAACCGTCATTCTCGAGACTCCCTCATGCTGCAACCTACTGCTGCTCACCTTGGTAGGGTAGAGGAGGGTAGCGATTTACCTGTGATTCCCAGAGGCTCCATATATGCTACCATTATGGAATCAGGTGTCCAAGACCATGATAGCGATGGGTTTTTGGGGCTTGATTCCAGAATGGTCGTATCTTTGGAGCTTCTGGGACTGCCAAAACGAATTGTTTACCGACTATTATTATTCCGAGGCACAAGACTCTAAATCTTGACCCACTCCTCAAGCACCAGGTAAGGCAAGTTGTCAGATCAACCCTAAACCCTGAACTCCAAACCCCTAAACGCCCCTAAACCCTAAACCCTTTAAGCCCTAACCCTTAAACCCTAAACCCTAAACCTAAACCCCTAAACCCCTAAAACCCCTAAACCCCTAAACCCTAAACAGGAGCTGGTCAGAGCCGGCGCCGTTGTGCTGGTTCTGGAGATGGTGCCGGAGGAGGTGGGTTCTAGGTTGAGGGTTTAGGGGTCCAGGGGTTTAGGGGTTGAGGGTTTCAGGTTTTTAGGGCTTATAGGATTCAGGCAGGTATTGGGGTTGGGTCTTGGTTTAGATTCAGTCCCGCAGAGAACATCGAGGGCGAATTCTGGGACGATAGGGTAGTATTCAGAGTTGGCGTCATGGATTGTTGGACGGTTGGCACAGTGACTGTGCCGTGTACTGTTTTTAGTAGCCTACTTATGGAGGGGATATACGGGGATTACATAGGCGTCCCATTATTGGGTTTATGCAGGGGCATACTAATTAGTATAGGAGGAGTTTAGAGTCTAGACTCGCAATAAGGTCGTTCAATGTGTCGTGTTTCGTGGAGGCTCAGGGGTTTGAAGGTTGTTGGGGCCAAGGTCCAAAGCTTAGTTAGTGTTGAGGACCCAATCCCAGGGCAGTTAAGGGGCGCAGCAATTGGAAGCCGTGTAGGCGTGCAGCGGCCGATAGTTTGGACCCTAATGTAAACTACATTTGTAGTGCATCCTCCAACCGTTTATCCAATTTAGCCGTTGTCGTGCGAGATTCTGCCGGAACACGAAGCTTTCCGGGCTTGTGCCTTGGAAGGTTTCGGGTCGCAGGGTTGCTTGTGCATTCCCTGGACCAGTTCCGGACGGATTCTTGCTG